ATTGACTGCACCCTACTGTGTATCTGCACGTGGTAAGCACAATCAGATGGAGCCCACCCTCCTGGCTGTGTGAGCGAGAGTGGGAGTAGTTCAAGATACACATACCCCAAATAAGTACACAGGGTGGGATAAATGAAGAGTGCATGGTCTGGAACTTGTCCCAGTTGAGAAAGGCTTCACTGAGCTGGGGATGAGTAGGTGTCTACTGATGACAGGGCAGAGGCAGGTGGTTAGACATCCTTGCCTTTTTCCTGATCTTAGTGGTAAAGTACTCCCTTTTGCACCCTCCATTATAAGGTTAGCTGTAGGGTTTTTTTTTTTTTTAAACCACTCAGATCATTGCTAATATTATATTTAAAAATGTAACATACAAGAATACAATCAAGAGAGACATGCAAGCCCGGTACGGTGGTGGCTCACGCCTGTAATCCCAGCACTTTGGGAGGCTGATGTGGGTGGATCACTTGAGGTCAGGAATTTGAGACCAGCTTGGCCAACGTGAAGCCCCGTCTCTACTAAAAATACAAAAATCAGCCGGGTGTTAGGGTGGGCACCTGTAATCCCAGCTGCTCAGGAGACTGAGGCATGAGAATCCCTTGAACCAGGGAGGCGGAGGTTGCAGTGAGCCGAGATCATGCCACTGTACTCCAGCCTGGGTGACAGAGCGAGACCCTGTCTCATAAAAGAAAAAAAAAAAAGACACATACAAATGAAAGAAAAAAAAAAAAAAAACAGAGACATACAAATGAAAAAAGACTCAGTTTAAGAAAGTCCTGGCATTTTGCGAGGCTGAGGTAGCCAGCTTGCTTGAGCCCAGAAGTTCAAGACCAGCCAGCGCACCGTGGTGAGACCACAGCTCTATAAAGAATTTAAAAAAAAATTAGCCTGGCCCAGTGGTGTGTATCTGTAGTCCCAGCTACTTGGAAGGCTGAGACAAGAGGATCACTTGAGCCCAGGAGGTCAAGGCTGTAGTGAGCTATGATCATGCCACTGCACTCCAGCAAGGCTCTGTCTTGAAAGAAAATAGTTAATTTGCACATTTATTTGAAGATGAAAAGTTTAACACGATTTGGGCCTCCTGCAACTGAAATTGGCGCCTCCCATTCCCCCTTGCCCCCTCGCCCCGACCACAGAAATGGTGGAAAAAGGGTAAAGCTGTAGGGTTTTTGTAGATGCTCTATCGAGTTGAGGATATCTTCTTCTCTAAGTTTGTTGAGAGTGTTTATAATGAATGGATACGGGTTTTGTTGCTGCTTCCTGTGGGAGCTGATTTTTTAGCTTGTTAATAGGATAGATTACATGGTTGATTTTTGAATGTTGAGCTGTTCTTGCCTACCCCACTTGGTCATGCGATGATTCTTTTTATCCACTGCTGGATTTGGTTTATTAATATTTTGAGCATTTTTGCCTGTAGTTTTGCCTGTAGTTTGCTCTTTTTTGTATTGGGTTTTGCTAGTTTGGGTATCAAGATGATGAGTTGGACGTGTCCTCTCTCTCCTTTCTGTAAGTGATTGTGTAACACTGATGTCGTTATTCTTTGAATGTTTGATCGAATTCTTCAGTGAAACCATCTGGGCCTAGAGATTTCTTTTTCGGGAACTTTCACATTACAAATTTAGTTTCTTTACTTAGTATAGGATTATTTATTTTGGTAGTTTGTGGTTGTCAAGGAATTGGTCTGTTTCATCTAAGTTGCAAAATTTGTGGGAGTAAAATTGTTTGTAGTAGTTCCTTAAATTTCAATGGCTGCCGAATCTATAATTTCATCCCACCTTATTCCTGATAAAGATAATTTGTGTCTTTTTTTTTTTTTTTTTGAGACAGAGTCTTGTTCTTGCTCTGTTGCCCACGCTGGAGGGCAGTGGCATGATCTTGGCTCACTACAGCCTCGACCTCCTGGGCTCAAGCGATCATCCTGCCTCAGACTCCAGAGTAGCTAGGACTACAGGTGCACACCACCATGCATGGCAGATTTTTGTATTTTTTATAGAGACGGAGTTTTGCCATGTTGCCCAGGCTGGCCTTGGACTCCTGGGCTCAAGGGATCCTCTGGCCTTGGCTTCCCAAAGTGCTGGGATTACACATGTGAGTTACCATGTTGGCTTTCTCTCTTTTTGTCAGTCTTACTAGAGGAATATCAATTTTATTGATTTTCCTCAGATAATTTGCTTTTTGTTTCATTGGTTTTCTCTGTTGCTTACCTATTTTCAATTTCACTGATTTCTGCTTTTTATAATAATTTTCTTCCTTCTGTTTGCTTTTGGTTTCTCTTGCTTCTCTTTCTAGTTTCTTGAAACAGGAGCTTAGTTTATTGATTTGCAATCTCTCCTATTTTTTTTTTTTTTTTTTTTGAGACAGGGTCTTACTTTGTCACCCAGGCTGGAGGGCAGTGGCATGATCTCAGCTCACTACAGCCTCAACCCCCTGGGCTCAAGCAATCCTCCTACCTCAGCCTCCTGAGTAGCTGGGACTACAGGTGCATGCCACCATGCACATTTTTATATGTTTTATAGAGATGGGGTTTTGCTATATTGCCTAGGCTGGTCTTGGACTCTTGGGCCCATGGAATCATCTCACCTCGGCCTCCCGAAGTGTTAGGATTTCAGGCGTGAGCCGCCATGCCTGGCCCCTTCTGCTTTCTAATGCTTTTGGCACCACAGTGGCTGCAACATATGTTGTGTTTTTATTCTCACTCTCCTCTATGTACTTTAAATTTTTCTTTTGCTATTATTTAAAAGTGTATCATTTATTTTCCAGTAATTTGTGTTTGTAAATTTTTGTTGTCTTTTGTTATAATTTCTAGTTTTATTCCTTTATAGCTAGAAAACTCTTAAAATATTTCAATTCTTTTATATTTATTTATTCATTCATTTTTATTTTTTTATTTTTTGAGATGGAGTCTCACTCTGTCACCCAGGTTGGAGTGCAGTGGCGGAATCTTGGCTCACTGCATCCTCTGCTTCCTGGGTTCAAATGATTCTCCTGCCTCAGCCTCCTGAGTAGCTAGGATTACAGGTACACCCTACCATGCCCAGCTAATTTTTTTTTTTTTTAAGACAGAGTCTTGCTCTTGTCACGAAGGCTGGAGAGCAATGGTGCAATTTCAGCTCACTGCAACCTCCACCTCCTGGGTTCAAGTGATTCTCCTGCCTCAGCCTCCCAAGTAGCTGGGATTATAGGCCACCACCATGCCGAGCTAATTTTTGTATTATTTTTTTTTTTTTTTTAGTAGAGACAGGGTTTTACCATGTTGGCCAGGCTGGTCTTGAACTCCTGACCTCAGGTGATCCACCTGCCTCGGCCTCCCAAAGTGCTGGGATTACTGGTGTGAACCACTGTGCCCAGCCTGAGTTTTGTATTTTTAGTAGAATCGGGGTTTCACTATGTTGGCCAGGCTGGTGTCGAACTCCTGACCTCAAGTGATCTACTTGCCTCGGCCGAGCCACCGTGCCTGGTCAAGATTTCAATTATTTTAAGTTAGTTGAAGTTTGGTCTACCATGTGAACGTTGGACACTTAGAAGAAACTGTGTTCTCTTGTTAGGTGAGTATTCTGCGTAGGCTGGTTGGGTCCTGTTGGCTGCTGTGTTGAGTTACTCCGTATCCTTGCTGGTTTTCTGCTTTTCTCTGTTACCAAGAGTGAAGTGTTGAAGTCTCCAGCCATAATTGCGGATGTGTCTATTTATCCCTTAGGTCTATCCATTTTTGCTTTTTGTATTTTCAGGCTCTGTGGTTTGGTGCATTCACATTTAGGATTATTATGTCTTCCTGGGGATTGAACTTTTTCTCAGTATGTAATGTCCCTTTGTCTCTAGTAGTTTTCTTCCTTCTGAAGTTTGCTTCATCTGATATTAATATAGCCACTCCTGCTTTCTTTTGATTAATGTTTGCATGATTAATGTTTTCCATTCCCAGGAAAAAGGAGGCCAGAAAGTAGAGGGCCAACTAGCCCCACCTCTAACCACCTCACGCCATGTCAGGGGTTCCAAATAGGGGTGGAGATAAGTTGGAGTTCAGCTCCCACTGGGCCCTCATGTGGCCAGGGGAGAGGAGTCAGAGTGTGGACTCCTTTGCCTCATACCATCTCCTTCTGCCTTGTGGATGCCAGGTGGGGTCGAGGCTTAGACTGTTCTTGCTGGACCACACTGACAGTGCCCTGGTGGGACAGACAGACAGTATGCTGATGGGACAGACAGAGGAAGCACCTTTACTTCCATGGACAGAGGAAGGGGGATCAGCTCTTTGCTCAGCCCCACCAATACCCCCTGGTGCCTGGCAGGGGAACAGGAATGTGTCACCTACTTTTGGGAAGCCGGGGTGGTGTGGAAGGTCTGCTCCCAGGGTGGCCCTGATGAAGTTGTAAGGTGCAGTTCTTCCACTGGTGTTCGACTTAAGTAAAGTGGGTGTTGCCAAAACAATTTTTCTTTAGTTGTGTCACTGTGAAGTTAAGGAATGGTTCCCAAGACCCCTCTTATGACACCAAGAGCAAATGCAGGCATCCCTGAGTCCCCTGTCGGGTTTGATGATTTGCTAGGATTACAGAGCTCACTGACTGCAGTTATTCTCGTGGTTATGGTTTATTATAGGGAAAGGAGATAGATTCAAAAATTATAATCAGCCTTGGGAAGAGTTGCAGAGGGCGGAGTCCAGGAGGGCTCATGCCTGGAGCTGGTCTCCACTCCCTGGCATGTGTCCTCTTCTGGGGAGTTCTTGGCAGCATTACTTTCCCCCACGGGGTGGTGAGTGTCAGCACGTGTGGAGTACTGCCAGCCACACCCGAGCTTTGGCATCCAGGGTCTTTACTGATGCTCAGCTACATGGATGTGTAGGCTTAGACTCCCTGCATGGCTGATCTCAGCCTCCAGCCCCTCTGAAGGACAAGCTTGTTATCATGTGGCCCAGCACTCCTGCTCCTCCAGGCCCAGTCTCCCACTGATCAAAAGGCAGGAGTCAGAGCCCCAGTGAACCTCAGTCATTAACTAGTGTGTCATTGCCTCTGCAGGTTCTCAGCACGATGCCCCGGCTCTGCAGGAAGCTGAAGTGAGAGGCCCGGAGAGGGCCCAGCCCGCCGGGGGCAGGATGACCAAGGCCCGGCTGTTCCGGCTGTGGCTGGTGCTGGGGTCGGCGTTCATGATCCTGCTGATCATCGTGTACTGGGACAGCGCGGGCGCCGCTCACTTCTACCTGCACACATCCTTCTCCAGGCCGCACGCGGGGCCGCCGCTGCCCACCCCTGGGCCGGACAGAGACAGGGAGCTCACGGCCGACTCCGATGTCGACGAGTTTCTGGACAAGTTTCTCAGTGCCAGTGTGAAGCAGAGCGACCTTCCCAGAAAGGAGACGGAGCAGCCGCCCGCCCCGGGGAGCATGGAGGAGAGCGTGAGAGGTTACGACTGGTCCCCGCGGGACGCCCGGCGCAGCCCCGACCAGGGCCGGCAGCAGGCGGAGCGGCGGAGCGTGCTGCGGGGCTTCTGCGCTAACTCCAGTCTGGCCTTCCCCACCAAGGAGCGCGCATTTGACGACATCCCCAACTCGGAGCTGAGCCATCTGATCGTGGACGACCGGCACGGCGCCATCTACTGCTATGTGCCCAAGGTGGCCTGCACCAACTGGAAGCGCGTGATGATCGTGCTGAGCGGGAGCCTGCTGCACCGCGGCGCGCCCTACCACGACCCCCTGCGCATCCCACGCGAGCACGTGCACAATGCCAGCGCGCACCTGACCTTCAACAAGTTCTGGCGCCGCTATGGGAAGCTCTCCCGCCACCTCATGAAGGTCAAACTTAAGAAGTACACCAAGTTCCTCTTCGTGCGTGACCCCTTTGTGCGCCTCATCTCCGCTTTCCGCAGCAAGTTTGAGCTGGAGAACGAGGAGTTCTACCGCAAGTTCGCTGTGCCCATGCTGCGGCTGTACGCCAACCACACCAGCCTGCCCGCCTCAGCGCGGGAGGCCTTCCGCGCCGGCCTCAAGGTGTCCTTCGCCAACTTCATCCAGTACCTGCTGGACCCGCACACCGAGAAGCTGGCGCCCTTCAACGAGCACTGGCGGCAGGTGTACCGCCTCTGCCACCCATGCCAGATCGACTACGACTTCGTGGGGAAGCTGGAGACTCTGGACGAGGACGCCGCGCAGCTGCTGCAGCTGCTCCAGGTGGACCAGCGCCTCCGCTTCCCCCCGAGCTACCGGAACAGGACCGCCAGCAGCTGGGAGGAGGACTGGTTCGCCAAGATCCCCCTGGCCTGGAGGCAGCAGCTATACAAACTCTATGAGGCCGACTTTGTTCTCTTCGGCTACCCCAAGCCCGAAAACCTCCTCCGAGACTGAAAGCTTCCGCGGCAGGTCCTTCCGCTTGTGCCCAGAACCTGCCGCACGTGCACTCCAGTTTTTTTATGACCTACGATTTTACAATCTGGGCTTCTTGTTTACTCCACTGCCTCTATCCATTGAGTACTGTGTCCATATTGTTTTTTAAGATTAATATATTTCAGATATTTAATACGAAACGTGGAAGGGAATGCTGGAGTAAAATCTCCCCTCTGCCCGCCCGCTCCTGTGGTTTCTCTGGCTGGGCGCAGCGGCCCCTGGAGGGGATGCTGAGGCTGATGGAGCTGCCTCCAGGGCTCCAGCGCTAACAGGTGGAGGGCAGGGCCTGCACTTGAAGTCAGGCCGCACCTGGATATTTTTAAATGGCTAGCCGACAAATCCTTCAAGAGGGAAAGTTCTTTAAGTGTTGTACTTGAAAAGGTCAATCTTCAGGGCTTCCTGTTTGAAGTCAAGTCAGAGGTAACCCGGTCAGTTACAGAAGCTGGATTTCTAACGCCAGTTATTCCCTTTAGTGTCTAGTTTAAATCATGGCAGTTAAGGCCAGGCGGGTGACTCAGGCACGTAATCCCAGCACTTTGGGAGGTGCAGGCAGGGGGATCACTTGAGGTCGGGAGTTTGAGACCTGGCCAACATGGTGACACCTTGTCTTTACTTAAAAAAAAAAAAAAAATTAGTTGGGTGTGGTGGTGTGCACCTGTAGTCCCAGCTACTCAGGAGTTCTGAGGTGGGCAGATTGCTTGAACCCTGGAGGCAGAGGTTGCAGTGAGCCTCAGCTCACTAATTGCAACACTGCACTCCAGCCTGGGTGACAGAGTGAGACTCCATTTCAAAATAAATAAAAACCAATTAATTAATTATGGCTGTTAAGGCCAGGCACCGTGGCGCATGCCTGCAATCCTGGCACTTTGGGAGGCTGAGGTGGGAGGATGACTTGAGTCCAGGATTTCAAGACTAGCTTGGGCAAACATAGCAAGACCTCATCTCTATAAAAAATAAAAAGGGTGTGATGGTATATATTTGTAAACCCAGCTACTCAGGAGGCTGAGGAGAGAGGGTCACTTGAGCCCAGGAGTTCCAGATCAGTTTGGACAACATAGCGAGATGCTGTGTCTACAAAAAATAAGAATATTCGCCAGATGTGGTGTTGACACCTATAGTCCCAGCTACTCAGGAGGCTGAGGCAGGAGGATCACTTGAGCCCAGAAGTTCAAGGCTGCAGTGAGCTATGATCATGCCACTGCACTCCAGCCTGGGCAACACAACGAGACCCTGTTTCTAGATAGATAGATACAGATAGATAAAATAAATAACGTAGAAACTAAACTATGGCCGTTGAGGTTTACAGTTAGGAGCAGAGTGCGTTGGCGTTTAGAACACATTGGATGGCAGTACACAGTCTCACCGAGAAGAGGCTCCAAGTGACTGTCTCTGTGGCTTTCTGGTTGGTTTAGTTCTAGTGCCTTCACCCTCAAGGACATGACTGACCTTGAACCTTCAGGTTTGATGGGCCCCATCTTGGTAAAAGCAACAGAGGAGGCTCATGAAACATCTGGCTGAAACTCTTGCTATTTCTGCTTCTAACCCGTAGTTGGAGAGGTGGTTGCAGTCATCTCATGGTGTCGGGCACCCTGCTTGACCTGTCTTCCTCATGGGTGGTGTTTGTCGCCGCTGCCCATTCCCTGGTTGCTGGCTGGTTGGGACGTCCTCCCTGGTGTCCAGTGTGTGTGATGTCCCTGCATTTCCCAGGCTCAGGTGGGCTGAGGCTTGTGTGGGTCTTGGCCTCTGAGTGCCTGCCTGCCTCAGATCTCCACCATATTAGACAACTCCTGCCTTCCTTTCTGAAGCTTTGCTTTCTTTTATTTTTGTTTTTTTGTTTTGTTTTGTTTTTGGAGACAGGGTCTCACTCTGTTATCCAGGCTGGAATGCAGTGGTGTGATCACAGCTCACTGCAGCTTCAGCCTCCCTGCTCAAGTGATCTTCCCACCTCAGACTCCTGAGTACCTGAGGTTACAGGTGAGCGCCAGCATGCCCAGCTAATTTATTATTTTTAACAGAGATGAGGTCTCACTGTGTGTCCCAGGCTTGTCTCAAACTCCTGGGCTCAAGTGACCCTCCTGCCTCACCCTCCCACAGTGCCTCACCCTCCCACAGGCATGAGCCATCACATCTGGCCCCTTTAAATTTTTTTATTATGATAGAAATTTGTAATTTTAAATGTACCATCTTAGCCATTGTTAAGTACACAGCGTGTGGCATTAAGCACATTGGCATTGCCGTGCCGCCATCACCACCAGCGTCTCCAGAGCTTTCTCATCTTCCCAAACGGAAACTCTGTCCCCAGTCAGCACTCACTCCCCACGGGCAGAGGCAGCACCTCCTCCTCTCTGAATTCCACTACCCGAGGTCCCTCATAGAAGCGGAGCCACACAGTGTTGGTCCTTTTGGGACTGACCATAATGCAGTGTTCTCCAGGTTCATCTGTGTCATGGCAGGTGTCGGAACTTACTTCCTTTCTGAGGCTGAATAATGTCCCATTGTGTGGAAGGGGCACGGTTTGTTTATCTGTTCATCAGTGGTTGGACACTGCGTTACTTCTACCTCCCTGCTATTGTGAATTGGGTGCTGCTGTGAACAGGGCATCAGTGAATCTGCTGAGGCCTTCTTTTCCCTTCTTCTGGGCATGGTCCTCAGCATCTGCCTCTGCTGGAACACCTCCCCGGGACGTTTTGTTTATAGGATGTTTAGACGAATGTCAGAACCCACTGGTGGTTCGCTCACTGAGGGGGTCCTGCGTCCCCTCCATTTCTGCATTTTCGGTTCTTGCTGTGGTTCCTCGGAGAGTCAGTTTTCCTGAGCATCTGGGGTATTTGCAGGAATGTGGAGGGGTTCCTGGAGAAGACACCACCCACATCCACGCACCTGCCCAGATTCCTAGGCCATGGCTTCCTGGGCCGTGGTTGGGGCCACGGCCCATGGGGATGACTCTGGATGAGAGAGGCAGAAAACAGCCTGCTGGGCGGGGAGGGGAGGCATCTCCAGGAAGGGCGGGAGGTGTGCGCCGTTTTTCCCGGAGATCCTCCCCTCCGCCCAGCAGGCTGTTTGGAGGCTGCCTGCCCAGAGGAGATCCTGCAGGCCGCCTGCCCAGAGAAGATCCGGCTTCCTCCGATTCTTCACTATTTCCCTGATGCACAGCACCACATCGCATAGAGAAATTTGGGTCTGTTTTTTTTCCGCTTAAACAAAACAAATTATACATTTTATAAAAACTGACATTGTACAACTGGAAAATTAACCATAAACTTAAAATTCTTTTACCCTGTTGGCCCCCATCCTCCAGCTATGTCTACATTTTAGCACAGTCACAAGAATGCCATAGTGGCTGCGGGGTCATGTCACAAAGCCCTGTCTTGAGTGATGGCTGCGCCTCGAATCAGTGGGAGGACACTGCGCTTGCTCACAGCTGGGCAAGGCCTGGGCTGGGCGGCCTGGCTGCTCATGGGCTCACCTCCTGGTGTCTGATGCTGTGTATTTTCCATCTGGCTCAGGAATCTGACACAGGTGTGACTTGCAGGCATGTGGGTGACACTTCCCTTCCTCTTTCCTCTTAAAGCATCTGATGCTTCTTCATTCGCTGATACTTACAACCCCTGATGGATGTTTAGTGGGGTTTACTGTAGTTCTTTTGCATTTATTTGGACTATTGGAAAAATTTCAGGTTTGGTTTTGGCCCTATGTCTTGATGGAGGGCAAGGGTTAGGATTTCAGTTTATCTTCCCGGTGAGGTCTGAGCTTGTCTGTGCCCTCAGGTGGGTGGTTTGGTGGAGGTGGGGCTTAACCCAGCTCTGTCACTTAGCAATTGGATTTTGTATGTATACATATTTATATTTATATAGATAGATATCGATATTTTTCTTGTTTCCTTCTTCCAGAGGATATAGGAGTTGTATTCCATGTTCCCTCCTACAAACCCTCCGACAAGGCAAGCTGCATTATCAGGGCCTGGATGGCCACGCCCTCTCTCCCTGCCCTGTCTCCTGCACGCAGGTGAGAGGCTGCCAGGGCTGCAGCAGGGGTAGAGAGTGAGCGCAGGGTGGCTAAGCCCTCCCTGGTCCCCATGAGTGACAGCAGCATGGATGGAAGCAGCCATCTGAGCTGGAGGCTGTGGACATTGTTCTTGTGTGGGTCCAGGCAAAGTGGGTGGCATGTACATTTTGTGAACATGTGGTCTGCTTCCTGGTGCAGCCCAGATCTCCCCAGAGGGACCCTCCTGAGCTGAGCTGCCGGGGTGCCTGTCCCTGGATGTGAGCTGCCTTGGTTACCTTTGTGGAGGGACCTTTCCTGGATCTGTTTTTTTCAACATGGTGCCAAATGTTTCCCTGTGGCAGGACGTCAGGGCCACACCAGCGTCCCCAGAGCCTTCTCCCTAGTGTCTCTGAAAGGAAGCCCAGGTTCCTGGGGTGCTCCCCTCCATATGTGCTCACCCGCCTGGATGGAGGCAGCCCAGAGGAGTGGCTGATGCTCTTGGCAGAGAGCTGGGGACGGTCTGTTCCCATTTGCATCCCCACCCTGCAGAGTAACAGATTCCCAAATATCACACAGGCTGAAGATACCACCCAGCCCCAGAGGAGGCCATCACCAGGCTGGGGCCCTCCCATGCCCATTATCCAGGGGTAATTTTTGCTCTCTTACTTACAAGACACATGTCTTTTTCTACCCTACCAAAGCTAAGACTATCAAAAGGTAAAGCTTGGATCACAGAGACGTAATTCATCTAAAAGTGTTTAGACATTTCTCCTGAGTGTTAGAGTGACTGTTTGCACACAGCTGTTGTTTTTTTGCCTGCATTCATTCCTCCTCCTGGTCAGAGAGCCAGTCTCTTCCACCCCCTCCCTTACCCCAGGAGGGCTGAGCTGGGCCCTCGCCCCACCAGGTCCAAGGGCAGATACGGCTGATTCCCCATCCTGGACCCCTGAGACCCAGTGCCCTTTGCTGTGAGTCTCTGGGAAGGGGTTTTGGCAGGCGGAGGTGATGGAAGTTACAGGGCTGTGACTCCCTAGAAAAGCTGTCCTGGGACTGAGACCAACTGCTGAGGGAGGAAGGGCCATCAGATGGGGGCTGGGATGGGGTGGAGCACTGAAGCCGGGTCTACCTGCACCCCTCAGCTATGCCGTCGTGCAATCAACATCTGCTTCAGCTAATTTGGGTTGAATTTCTAGCATTT